TGCCATCAACAGATCAACAAATGACAAGTGCTGGTGAGGACGCGGAGAAAAGGAGCCTTCCTGTACTGCTGGTGGGAGCGCAGCCTGGCTAGCCGCTGTGGAGAACAGTATGGAGTTTCCTCAGAAAACTGAAAATGGCACTGCCATCTGACCAGCGATCCCACTTCTAGGAATGTCCTCAAAAACCGGAAGCGCCCATCAGACAGACGTGACCCCTGTGCTCACAGCAGCACCACTGACAACAGTGAGACCGGAGCAGTCGCTGTCAGCAGAGAAGTTGCTCTAGGCGCAGGCAATGCCTGCAGGACATGTCCCAGGTGTTTCACGCGGTGCAGAGGGAGATGGGAAAGGAGATGTGGCTGAGAGTGAAAAGGGTCGGCCTCCAGCTTGTTCTTTGTAACCTCCATCCTGAAGCATTTCCCAGCTTCCCCAGTAACAGAAAACCACCAGTCACCGTGTTATGGGAGGAGGGGCTGGGCTCACAGGGTGTGAGTGTGAGGTGCATTTTCTTCCTCTGCGGACACTTGGCCTTCTCACGGCATTAGCATGCCTCCTGCAGGTGCCTGGGACCGCACAGCAGGAGAGAGTGCTCTCGGGAGCGGAGGTCAGCTCTCCTGGTCGAGGCTGGAGGAAATTCCGTGTCCCCGCACAGAATCCCTGGGGGCTGTGGACTGGTTCTGCCACCCGGCAGGAAGAGGGTGCTGGCTGGTCCCTGTGAGCTCCCTCCCCTGGGAGAGCTGGTCAGCCGGCCCCTCCAAACAGGCCGATCCTGGCGGAAGGTCCCTGATCCTGTGGGCATGAGCAGGGGTGTCACTTCAGAGCAGGGAGCGGGGGTCACCCAGGCACCCCTTCCTCGGGCTCAGCTCCCCGAGTCTGCCCAGCTCAGCACCCTCCGCACACGTGCTCTTCCTTCAGGAGAGGAAGCTCCACATCGCCTTCGTCCGTGTTTGGGGCTGAACTTAGCGTATTGGGGTTCATCCGCCCAGACCGCATCTGCTCTGATGAAGGAACTGGCAGGGACCCTCAGCCCAACGTGACTTCTGTGTTTTCTTTCTTCTCATTGACTTTCCGTCCATGGCTGTCCCCCTTCCCCAGGCAAATCCCCCGGAGCCTGCTCTTTTATAATGTCCATCCTCCCTCTTCCCTCCCTTCCCCCTCCTCCTCCTCTTGTCCTGCATTCAACAAATTCTTACTCAGAGCCTGAAGCTTACCGTGCTTCATTTAAAAATTGTAACTAATATTTAAACATCTTTTGAGTTTTTTTTTTTTTTTTTTTAAGGCATGTGCCCTTGGCTGGAATCGAACCCGGGACTCTTTAGTTCACAGGCCTACGCTCAATCCACTAAGCCAAATCGGCTAGGGCTTCATTACCTTAAGTGTTCTCTTACTGAGGAAATTGGAAGGCTTTCATTGTTAGTTGTACAGCGCCACCTAGTGGGTCTGTGATCACCAGCTGTCCAGATCTGACATCAGCTTTTAATATTTAGCTGCCTTTGCCGCTCATCACTTCTCTAACACACAGACTGTGTGGCAAGGCTCTTCTTCGTACGCAGCTGCTCAGACAGAACACAGAGGTTACACCCGCCCCGCGGGGTCCTTGCAAGGTTTGCTCACCCACTCGAGGCACGATGCTTGCTCTGCGTCCTTCTGTGGGCATTGCCTTCTATGCCAGAGAGAACTTTACTCGTGACAATTTCCCAGTGCCCTCTCTACTCCGAGCTGTGCTTCTGATTGCATCCTCACCTGCTGGCTTGTTTAATGTCCCAGGCAATAGACCCCGGACTGACTGTACACATGGAAGGTTGCCTGGGAGAATGGCAGGAAGATTTAGAAAACTAATACTATCAATAATGATAAAAGTTCAATATGCTAATTAGACCGGACAGCCGAACGACCTTCCAGACGCAGCTGGGGCTGTGAGGGTGGAGCCCCTTGCACAGATTTCGTGCACTGGGCCTCTAAATTAAAATAAGGAAACTTTCAAAATTGCATTAGTATTCTAAGAAGTTACTGATTGATACGCATTGTTTGCTCTTTCACAAGGAAAAGTAGCCAAAAGTGTTCTGTTCTGTTTTGTTTTGAAATCACTTATTTTCTCTTCACACGGAGCTCATTTCTCAGTGAATTATATTCTCTCTGGTGGCCTGACATCCACTATGATTTTATGATACATGCACAAAAGGAAAGATAATTACCCAATTAGAGCATCTTAATTAAAATTAGTGCCCACACACGGTTGGCAGCCCTGGTAATGTAAAAATAAGCCCAGGCCCAGACAGCGGGGCCCCTTCCCTGGCCAGCTCCCGCCTGTCCTCGCTGGGGGGTGATCGCCAAGGGGGGAGGGGTCCAGTGTCCGCTCTTTCCAGTGAAGTGAAGAGCAGAAGAGAAGGAGCAGTCAGGAAGGCACTGGAGGCCAAATATGTAAGCACATTTATTTTTTTTAAATTATAAAATGTGAAAACATTCTGGAAGCAAATCTGACCCAATGTCCTTGGAAAGGAAAAGACCAGCTTTGGGCGGCGTGATGCTTTACAAAAAGGGTGCTCACGGAGTGGGACTCAGGAGACGTGGACTGGCTGTGTGAGCTCTGCCCACTGCGGGGTCCACGGCGTCTGGAGATGGAGAGAGCTCTGCACAAGCAGGCACGGCGCCGGCCTGGGCCCCAGAAACAGGCGCTTGAAGAGCTTTTAGCATTCCTGGCTGTCACCGCAGCGTCTGGAGACCGTCCTTACCTCCCAGCGCCTCGTCTCCCAGAGAGACGGCCCGGAGCCTGCCTGTGCCTACAGCGAAGGTCGCATGGCCTCGCTCCCTCCTGGACTCACTTCCAGGCCCATGGCCGCACCTGCCGGCACTGGTGCTCCGTGTCAGCTGCAGACAGCCGTCTTTGAGTAAATCCTAGCAGCAAAAATAAGGGTAATTTTGTTCGCATTGCTTCTGCTTTGTCATCCTGTGCTGTCCCTGATGGCCTGACGATGGCCATCAGGCGCTGACGATGGCCTTCGAGCTTTGAGGGAAAGGATGAGAAGTAGGCTTCTTGGGAATGCGTGCAGCTTGCAGACTTCCTTCCCAGCGGAACCCGGAAGGCGTGTCTGGTGCTGGAGGCGGGTTGCAGGCAGGCAGCAGCCCGAGGGCAGCTGATGGACTGGCTCTGACCTGCTCTCCCTCCGCTGCTGAGGCACCCTGGTACCTAAGCTTGTCTGCTCCCCTTCGTCCCCCAGCGCCTTCTCACCGCCTGCCTCGGATGACAGGCAGTCACCACTTCAGGCTGTCACACCCAAAGTGTACACAGGGAAGCGTTGTGTAAGTCACTACTTTAATGTATGAGTGTACTTAAGTCTGATTCCTAGAATGTTTTAAAAATCTACGCTTTTAACCAGTAGATTTCATCAAAAATCTGAAAGATAGATTCCTTCCTTCCAGATCATTTTTTCAGTAACATTTTACAGTAATAAGTTAGCTAACTTCAGAATTTGTATGAATAAATGCCTCTCACCTGTCAGTAAATACACAGGGAGGGAAGGTCTGTATGGGGGATAACGTTGCCGCTTACCTAACGGTCTGTGCCAGGCCTAGTGCTCTACACTGAACGTGCATTTCCTTTCGTCCCCAGCCCAGTCCTACAGCGGCACCCGGCCTGCCCACGCAGGGACGGAAGAGAGAAAGGAGAGTCCAACCCGCGTCTCGGTTCCTCAGCAAGCTGTGGGGGAGGGGCCTGAGGGGCAGAGGGAATGTTCTGAACTTAAGAACATTTTCCCTTGATCTTTCATGTATTTTACTAAATCTGTTTTGTCTTTATTTTCTTGCTCTGAGACCTCACAACCTATTTTTGACCGAACGCTCAGCAGTTAGCACCTCTCGGTTTTCTGTGAGGAGCATCCCCACCTGCCTCCTGCTCTTCCCGTCTCCACTAAGAGCAGTCTGCTTCTTATACTTCTCCTTTAGCGCGCGCGCACACACACGCACACACACACACACACACACACACGCACACCTCGTATGATGTGCCAAATCCTGCAATTCTCAAGCTTTTCCAGAAATGTCATCGTTAGGGGATTTCTAACAAGAGCAGTCTGTGGTTTCGGCCTGAAGCCGGAAGAGCTGGGAAGCGGGCAGACTCCCAACGCTGAGCCTTCCACTTGAGCTGTAAATAGCAGACTTGTAGCGGTTTCATGTGTGTTTACGAGGAAGAAGCCACTGGAGTGTTTATTTTTCGGCTCTGGCAGAGCGCACCCAGCCGGAGAGGCTGTGTGAGGTGTGTGGCCTGAGCGGCAGCGGCGGCCCTGGCCAGGCTGGTGAGCACACGCAGAGCCCTGCAGAGTGCATGTGCCCGGCGCTGTGTGCGGGGCCGGCGGGCATCTCAACAGCGCACAGCGCAGCAGGGGCCCCGGGGCCACCCGACCCTGCTGTCTGTGATCCTCCGGTGTGCGTCCCTCCGGTGTGCGTCCCTCCTGGGTGCATCCCTCCGGTGTGCGTCCCTCCTGTGCGTCCCTCCAGTGTGCGTCCCTCCGGTGTGCGTCCCTCCTGGGTGCATCCCTCCTGTGCGTCCCTCCGGTGTGCGTCCCTCCGGTGTGCGTCCCTCCGGTGTGCGTCCCTCCGGTGTGCGTCCCTCCTGTGCGTCCCTCCGGTGTGCGTCCCTCCTGGGTGCGTCCCTCCTGGGTGCGTCCCTCCGGTGTGCATCCCTCCTGGGTATGTCCCTCCGGTGTGCGTCCCTCCTGTGTGTATATCAGTGTAAACAGCAGGAGATCAGGGCACAGGGTTGAGGATGTTTGTGACTGTTAGTAGTATTAGTACCCTCTTTCATTTCTGTCTCCGCACAGGTAATCATACACCCACATACACACAGATACATGCATGTGCATGCATGCTTATAAAAGGCATTCATCTAATTTCTGTTGGGGCGCTGCCTTGAACACGAGGTGTGAGGAGAGGCCCTGCCTGTCCCGCTCCTTTGTGGCGTCCGGAGCGGCTCACCCACGTGTGCTCTCCCACTTGGCCCGCAGACGCCCCTCTACCTGGTGGACCACGGCGAGGCGGGGCCCGTGCGCTGCAACCGCTGCAAAGCCTACATGTGCCCCTTCATGCAGTTCACCGAGGGCGGCCGGCGCTTCCAGTGCGGCTTCTGCAGCTGCGTCAACGAAGGTGAGTGTGTGCGGGCGGGAGAGCTCACCATCCACCCACCCGCCCGAGTGCCCCGGCCCAGTGCCTCCTGCTCACTGGGCTCAGCTTGTCCCGAACCTTTCCAGACATTGACCTTCCACATCCCGAGATCCATGTGTGATGGAGCCCTGCACACTCGCTTAGAGAGACCATCACCAGATAGCAAGGCGGAGAACAGTCGCACCTTGGAGGATATTTACGTCCAAGCCGTGCAGTCCCGTTGCAGTCCACATGGCAGTTCACATGCAGTCCACATGATAGTCACACATGCAGCCCACGTGGTAGTCACACAGTCCACATGGCAGTCCACACGCAGTCCATGTGGTAGTCACACGTGCAGTCCACATGGCAGTTAACAGGCAGTCCACGTGGTAGTTCACATGGCAGTTCACATGGTAGTCACACATGCAGTTCACATGATAGTTCACATGCAGTCCACGTGGTAGTCACACATGCACTCCGCATGGTAGTTCACATGGCAGTTCACATGGTAGTCACACATGCAGTCCACATGGCAGTTCACATGGCAGTCCGCGTGGTAGTCACACATGCAGTCCACATGGTAGTTCACATGGCAGTTCACGTGGTAGTCACACATGCAGTCCACATGGTAGTTCACATGGCAGTTCATATGGTAGTCACACATGCAGTCCACCTGGTAGTCACACATACAGTCCATGTGGTAGTCACACATACAGTCCACGTGGTAGTTCACATGTGCAGTCCATGTGGTAGTTCACACGTGCAGTCCACGTAGTGGTCACACATGCAGTCTATGTGGTAGTTCACATGTGCAGTCCACGTGGTAGTCACACCTAGTCCACGTGGTAGTCACACATGCAGTCCACATGGTAGTTCACATGTGCAGTCCACGTGGTAGCCACATGTGCGAGAGTGCTGAGCTGCTGGTTCTGAAACAAAAGGCACCGTCACCCATGGGTTCACAGAGGAGTCGGCCGGGCATCGGGGGGTCCTGGGCGCCTCTGGCCAGCGTTCAGCCAGCCCGCCGTCCTGGCAGCAGGCTGGTGTCCCAGATGCCAGGCCATATTTGTGCAGGCGCTCGCTGGGTGGTTCCGGCTGCTCCAGCTGCTCCGGCTGCTGGATGGCCTCCAGCCCTCGGCAGAGCGAGCCCCGTAGCCACGGGAACCAAAGTCAGCCCCAGCTGAGGGAACGTGAGCCTTTCCCTAATACAGTCATCCTCGCCCTTGGCGGCCCCCGGGGAGGACGGCCGTGCACACTCCCTGCGCCTGCAAGGGCACCCAGCTGCCGGGTGACAGATACCAATTCACAGCTAGTCCATGTGATCACATGCTTCTGTGAGGTGGACTGAAGCGGGAATGCTGAGGAAAGCCAGCCTTGCTTTTCGAAGGCAATGAGGTAGGGACAGTGAGACCTCTGCCGTGACCCATGTGGGCACAGGGCAATGACCCCTGCGGGCACAGTGGCTGCGTCCTGCTTCTCTCCAGGATCCCAGGCCCAAGTGCTCCTTGTCATCAGCAACTTGTAGGCGGTCAGGAGGGTGGTTTTTTGTGTGTGTTATTTTTTTAGAAAACCCTCATTCTTTCCAAGGCAGGCTTTCAGATGGTGGGTCTTCAGAGTATATTACATTCTAGCTCAAAATACTTGTTTCCGCTCCTCCTCACTCCGTTCTGCCCGCCATAAATTTTGAGAACTTATTGCGTTGTCTGTGTTGTAAAAACAAACGATTTCCTTTCCCGTTTTGTTTTGTTAGTCCCACCATCCTACTTCCAGCATCTGGATCACATGGGCCGGCGGCTGGACCACAGCGAGAGGCCGGAGCTGTCCCTGGGGTCCTACGAGTACGTGGCCACTCTGGATTACTGCAGAGTAAGTGTCCCGGCAGTCGGTGTCACACACAACGTCAGTCCACGTGAGTGACCGCGTGTGCGAGGATCTGACAAAGCGTGCCGGTGCCAGGGGGCGGGGGCCTCGGCGCTGGAACGAGGAGACAGCAGCACACCCGGCAGTGCTGTTTTATAATCGCGTGGCACGGAGAGCAGTTGCCTAACGCCGTGTCCCCTCCAGGCAGGACGTGCGGGTCTGCAGTGCCGCCTCCTTCTTACTGGCTTTGTCTTCTCACGCCATTGCCTCACTTCCGGCAAAAGCTCGGCAGGACGGGCTGCAGGCCAGGGGCGTGTTTCTGTGTTCCCGTCTGTTGTCGCCACAAGAGCGACACCCTCAGATCCCCCGGCGCCCAGCAGCTGGGGAACTTGGCCTTGAAATGTGGCCAGGCGCTCCCCCACCTCCTTAGCTAAAGCGCTAGCTGAGGGATGTAGCTTCCTTATGAGACCACGGACTGCTGAGCCCAGACCGCCACCCAGCGCTGTGCTCACTGTACGGACCTCCACCTCTGCTCTGACCCCCGCCCCCCCCCCCCCATTGAGGCTCTGTACTTTGTACAAGGTCATCCTTCTGTTAGAGCGCTCACCCCCCTCCCCCCGGCAGCAGACTCCTGCTTACTCCCGAGCACCTGGCCGGGCTTTGGTTTACGTGTGCGCGCATGCGCGCGCACAACATCTTTCTCTGACGTCACCATGGTGGCCGTTCACTAATCTTCCATTGTTGCTGTTGTTTTCATAGAACTTGGTCCATACGTTTAGCAGTGATCCCTGTGGACTTTAAATCTGTGTCTTCCCTCTTCATGGTTCTGATCTCCCTGGGGCAGGGGTCTTGTCCCAGCTAACTGTGGTCTGCCATGGGTCTGGCACAGGCAGGCAGTGGATAGGAGTGTGGGATGAGTGAGTGAGTGAGTGATCAGTGAGTGCGGGAGTCTGCAGGCGTGTGCCTAGTCCAGGACTGGCTGTGTCCCTTCTCCAGGCACAGGGCTGGTGGCATCACAGGGTGCCTTCAGGGCTTGAGAGTTCTCGGTGATTTAAAGTCAGATGTCAGCTTATGGCTGGAGTGCCATGTGGCACCTGAGGAAGCAGGCCTGACCAGCGCCCTCCCCCTGCAGAGAGGCCGCGCTCAGCAGGCTGAGAAGGAGCCCTGACCGAACTGCAGAGGGCGAGGGCCTGCCGCTCCATGCAGACAGAACAGGTTCCAGCTGGAAGCTTCTTCGCTGCTCGGACTTCAGCGTGTTTTTAACTTAACTTTTGCATTTGTTTTAGTGTTTTGCATGCGGTTGTTTTTTTATGGCACATAGCTATAAAGGGTTAATGCTTTGTTAGTTTAAAATGTAACACTTGAACATAGTTTGGGGAGTAGAAGGACATTCTTGGTACAAATGTTTTATTTCAGGGAGATATGTTCTCAAGTGTCAAGTGCTTTGGGGCATTTGCTTGTTGGGACGCTGTTGACGGGAGAATGTTGGGCGAATATAAACGTCCCAATTAAAGTGATAAAGCCGTCAGGTCCGAGTGCAGAATGTACTCGCTGACCTTTGGGACCGGAGCATAAATCTAACTGAGTTCCCAGCTCTCTGCCAACGAGGCCGCAGTGTCTTGACTTTCTGCTTTTTTAGTAGAAACTGAAGCAGAGAGCCAGCTCTATTTCTGGGAACACAGCTCAGTGCTTGACCCTCTTCTCCGGAGAGGCGCTGGGAAATGTCCTGATGTCTGACGGTGGGAACTCCGCCGCAGGCCGGGACCAAGTGAGAGCGGGGCGCTTCGAGGCGGTTTTATGAGCTTCGTCTTCCCTTTGTTCTCCCAAGTGAGGCTCGTGATGAAAGATGTGAAGTGTCTTCACGCTTAACTATAGCTTCAATGGACATAAGTGTCACGCTGAGTTGCTTTACAGATTTGGATGACGAGAAAGATCTTATTTTACTTATACGTGTATTTTTTTTTTAACATGTAGAACTTAAGGTGCATTGCAGACTCACATTTTCCTATTCATTTTAGTTTAGTTAATGCCAATGTGTGCAGTTATTTAACATTTACTACATGTGACGTTGTGCTCAGGGCTCTCTGTTCTGTGTGACCTCCGTCTCATACTGCATCCTGCGGCGAGCACAGCGCTGCAGGGGAAACTGAGGCTTGGAGAGCTTAAGTACCAACGTGGGTCCCACGTACAGAGAGTGACGTGGCTGGACCTCAGAGCCCTGTCCCCGCTCAGGCTCTGCAGAGACACAGACGGTCTTCACAGATCCACCACGAAGCACCTGCAGGACAAGACCCCTCAATGTCATTGACTGACAGCTTTTAGAAGTTCACGGACGATATCTGCATATAAAATGTGCCTGAAATTAAAACTCATTCCAAACTAGCCTTTATATTTAAGTGAAAATATCGCTTTTCCTCTTGGCTTTATTCAGGTTGACATTCTTCTGGATGCCTAGCCCGCCACGGCACTTGGCTCTATGCTGTGAGAGGCCAGAACTAGCAGATAATGAGCCTGGTCTCCAGGTGCTCGCCAGCGAAGGCCTGGTCCGCCCGATGTGAGTGCGGCAGGCACAGAGCCAGAGCCAGGCACCTAGGAACATGCACGCAGGGCTCAAGGTGGGCGGCCAGGGAGGGGCGTGAAGGAGTGGGTGGAGCGGGCTGTGCCCCCTCCAGCCTGGCACTGCCACCTGCTCTGGGCCTCTGCAGGGGGTGCTAGCAGCAGCCTCCGCGGCGAAAAGCGGGTGGGAGCTGGGGGGAGGGGTGTTAGAAGTCAACGGGGTAGTCCAAGCGAGAGGAAGGAGGCTGCAGAGCAAGTCCTCAAAAAGTGCAAAGGAGAGCACCTGTGTGGCCCCGCACTTGCTCTCTGGGGGAACCCCACGAGAGCAGGGTCTGCAGGAGGCAGTGCACCCGTTCACAGGCGGTGGAGCGCCCAGTGTCCATCGTGGCGAATGGATGCACAGCTCGTGGCCGCCCATGCGATGGGATATCATTCTCCTTAAAAAAGAGGAAACTCTGACGCAGCTACAGCACGGGAGAACATTAAGGACTTTGTACGAAGTGAAGTAAGCCATCACATTGAAGACAGACACTGTGCGATTCTACCGATGCGCAGCACGGGTGACTTAGTTCACTGAGGCAGCGGCAGGAGGTGGCTGCAGCCTGCAGGGCTGGAGGGAGGGGCGATGGCAGACTGTGGATGGTGCAGGCTATCTGCAGGGTGAGGCATTTAGACTTGGGTGTGATGGCCGCACAGCGGTATGCGTACGTCTCACGTCAGGTGCACTTTCCCACCACCAAGGTCACATGGAAGAGAGAGAGTGAGGGTCTGTGCGTGGGCACTGGACTGGGCACAGGGGGCTCCCAGTGGGCGGTGTGATGGCCAGGGCGGTGACAGCTCCACGGAGAGAGATTCTGTACGTTCTGTAAGTTCTCACAGAAAGGACAGGACGGCTGGAGTCTGAGTGTCAGGTGCCGGGACAGCCCGTGGCGCTGTGCTCTGGTCGATCGGATGCTGGTCTGAGCTCAGAGGAGCCCCTGGCGAGCGAATATGGGGAGTCGCCTCTCTGGAGGTGCTGGTTCCAGCGGAGCGAGTGAAGTGGTGTCTGGTTGGCGGTGGGAAGGGAGAAGAGGGCTTCTTAGAGAAAGAGAAGGGAGTAGACAGGAGCCACGGTCCAGCGAGCAGGAGAGGAAGGACGGCATGGCGCTTTGGTCGCCACAACGTGAGCGTGGCCTGTGAGCCTACAGGTGCAGATGCTGGGGGAGAGGAGCTGGATCTGCTCCAAGTCTGTCGGGAAGCAGTGACCTCTGAGAGCCGGTCATTGCGGTGTCATGGCGTGCCGTGTCAGAGTGCGGCGTCACAGGGTGCGGTGTCACAGGGTGCGGCGTCACGGGGGGGGGCATCACGGGGGGGGGGCGTCACAGAGTGTGGCGTCACGGGGGAGCGTCACGGGGGGGGGCATCACGGGGGGGGCGTCACAGAGTGTGGCGTCACGGGGGGCGTCACGGGGGGGGCATCACGGGGGGGGCGTCACAGAGTGTGGCGTCACGGGGGGGCGTCACGGGGGGAGGCATCACGGGGGGGTGTCATGGGGGCGGGCGCCACGGGGGGAGGCATCACGGGGGAGCGTCACGGTGGGAGGCATGGGGGGGCATCACGGGGTGTCGTCATGGGGGGCGTCACGGGGGGAGGCATCACGGGGGGAGGCATCACGGGGGGGCGTCATGGGGGGGCGTTATGGGGGGGCGTCACGGGGGGAAGTGTTGGGTGCAGAGTCGTCGAGGGCAGCAGCGTGGAATGCAGTGTCACGGAGCATGGTGTCACTCAGAGCCAGTTTGTACCGAGGTCAGACGTGAGCTTGGCTGGGCGAAGCAGCGGGGTCGAGTGGGTTGGAAGCCAACACTGAGGTCCTTACAGCTTCCGGGCTCGAGATGACAGAGCTGGGCGGGGAAGGGTGGGGATGGGGTGAAAAGTGAAAGGAAATTTTAAGAGAGGGAATGGTCAGATCTGAGCCCAGGTCTCAAGCCTTTAGGTTGGCGTGTGGTGATGCCACTGATGGGGGCGCGGGAAGAGCAGTCATCGAGAGGGCGATGAATCAGCCTGGCACACACAGCGGACGAGCTGCAGGAAGCTTCTGTAGGGATGCGTGCGGTGGGCCACGGAGATGCTGGGCCAGGCCGGGCCAGGGTGCGGGGGAGCACACAGAATGGGAAGGCACCTGTGGGTTGACCACAAATGCATTTTAGTAATTGATGGGAATGGCTGTCTTCATTCCATGTCCATCAGCATAAGTCTGTGTCCGAGTCAGAGGAGGTGGAGCCAGGAGTGAGTGCAACAGATTGCTCATGTGAAGAGCAGCAGATTCCACTCACCTGCTTGTTGGTCTGGTTTTGGAGATGCCAGAGGATTGAGGCTTTCGGGCTGATAATTTTTAAGTCCTGTCACTGTTTTCTTATTTATTGATTGGTTTTAGAGAGGAAAGGAGAGAGAGAAACGATGATTTGTTGTTCCACATATTTCTGTATTCGCTGGACGATTCTTCTATGTGTCTGACCTGGGGGAGTCCGGATGCTGCTCTCACCGCAGTGCTCCCCCTCCAGGCCTGCTTCCCTTATTTCAAATGAAGAACTTTTACCAGAAGAATGTTATAGCTAGCCTCGTAGTGCTTATAGAATGAATTCGTAGGATAATCTATAATGATAAAAGCATAATATGCTAATTAGACTGGACGTCCTTCTGGACGAAGCTGGGCTTCAAGGGAAGCCCGTGCAGCAGCTGCGGAAGGAAGGTAGGCCTGCTCTTATAAGAATTTCATGCATCGGGCCTCTAGTTTGGAGATACTACTGTTAATTTTATAATTGTAGCTAAGTACAGTTTCTAGACATTTCTATTATTTATTATAAGGTTAAAATGAACTTGGTCTTACCTCTTTGCCGTTGGCCTGTGGCTCTCTTCTCTAAACGTTTGTGTGAGGTCCGCTGGTGATCCCTCCCGCATGTGTGACCCTGGCCAGCCCGCTCCAGTGGCAGCTGCTTTGTGTTAACGTGATTATTTTAAACAGAGAGAGAAGGCCACGTGGTCCCTGCTTTATCCCGAGGATGTTAGAAGTGGGAAGTATTTAACAATGTAGTTTCATTCTTTCAGTATAATTGTATTTTAGTATGTGATTTCCTGTCTTTAACATTGAAATGCTTATCAAGGAAGAAAGTTGAGATTAGCGATCGGAAGCTAATGCCGTTTACTGCCTTTTCAAAGACAAGCACTATGTGTCCTCTTTTTTGGCACCATTTGCGGGTTCCCCTTCTCTGAGGCGGGTTGTTAGGGAGCCCCTAGCCTGCTCCCCTGGGGCTGACGGGGCCGGGCCTGCAGACATCAGTCTTAGCTGAGACAGCCTCAGGACTGTGCTCGGTGCTGATTCCCCGCGAGTGTAAGCAAACACCGGGTGCCTGCAGGAGTGCTGTGACTGACTGTGCGCTCTCACAGTGTGTGACCGGGAGTGCTATGACTGACTGTGCGCTCTCAGTGTGTGACTGGGAGTGCTGTGACTGACTGTGCGCTCTCAGTGTGTGACCGGAAGTGCTGTGACTGTGCGCTCTCACAGTGTGTGACCGGGAGTGCTGTGACTGTGCGCTCTCACAGTGTGTGACCGGGAGTGCTGTGTGGCTGACTGTGCGCTCTCACAGAGTGTGACCGGGAGTGCTGTGTGGCTGACTGCGCTCTCAGTGTGTAACCGGGAGTGCTGTGACTGTGCGCTCTCACAGTGTGTGACCGGGAGTGCTGTGACTGACTGTGCGCTCTCAGTGTGTGACCGGGAGTGCTGTGGCTGACTGTGCGCTCTCAGTGTGTGACCGGGAGTGCTGTGGCTGACTGTGCGCTCTCACAGTGTGTGACCAGGAGTGCTGTGGCTGACTGTGCGCTCTCACAGTGTGTGACCGGGAGTGCTGTGTGGCTGACTGTGTGCTCTCACAGTGTGTGACCGGGAGTGCTGTGTGGCTGACTGTGCGCTCTCACAGTGTGTGACCGGGAGTGCTGTGACTGACTGTGCGCTCTCACAGTGTGTGACCGGGAGTGCTGTGTGGCTGACTGTGTGCTCTCACAGTGTGTGACCGGGAGTGCTGTGTGGCTGACTGCGCTCTCGGTGTGTGACCGGGAGTGCTGTGTGACTGACTGTGCGCTCTCACAGTGTGTGACCGGGAGTGCTGTGTGACTGACTGTGCGCTCTCAGTGTGTGACCGGGAGTGCTGTGTGGCTGACTGTGCGCTCTCACAGAGTGTGACCGGGAGTGCTGTGTGGCTGACTGTGCGCTCTCACAGTGTGTGACCGGGAGTGCTGTGACTGACTGTGCGCTCTCACAGTGTGTGACCGGGAGTGCTGTGTGGCTGACTGTGCGCTCTCACAGTGTGTGACCGGGAGTGCTGTGACTGACTGTGCGCTCTCACAGTGTGTGACCGGGAGTGCTGTGTGGCTGACTGTGCGCTCTCACAGTGTGTGACCGGGAGTGCTGTGTGGCTGACTGTGCGCTCTCACAGTGTGTGACCGGGAGTGCTGTGTGACTGACTGTGCGCTCTCACAGTGTGTGACCGGGAGTGCTGTGTGACTGACTGTGCGCTCTCAGTGTGTGACCGGGAGTGCTGTGTGGCTGACTGCGCTCTCGGTGTGTAACCGGCTCTGTCCTTTGTGTGCTTCCCGCAGAAGAACAAGCCGCCCAGCCCTCCCGCCTTCATCTTCATGATTGACGTGTCCTACAGCAACATCCGCAGCGGGCTGGTGCGGCTCATCTGCGAGGAGCTGAAGGCCGTGCTGGAGCGGCTGCCCAGGTAGGTGCCCGCCGCCGCGGGGTCTGCGCACAGGCGGAGGCCGCCTCACCGCCTCAGCACTGCCCCCCCCCCCCCCGCACGAGCACCCCGCCTGGAGAGCGATGCTTGGGGTGGGAGCCCGCCGCCTCTGGGCCCAGGTCCGTGGGCGGGCAGACGAGTGGGTGGACGGCAGGAGCAGGGTTGTTTGTATCTGTGACAAGGAGCCATCATTCCTGAGGAGGTTTGGAGAAGTGGGGCTGGGCTGGGGGGAAGGGGAGGCTGTTTAGAAACAGTGAGGTGCTTTCAGCAGAACCCTAAAGGGAAGGGTGCTGAGCGCGTGGGGGAGGGCGTGAGAGGCATGGTGTGCAGCCTCGGAGGGAGGGCTCGCTGAGCAGGACGCGGTGCTGCCTTCCCCAGGCCCCCCCCCCTCGGGTGCGTGCCTCTCCGGGTCCCCGCCCCCCCACCGGGTGCCTGCCCCTCCGGGTCCCCGCCCCCCCCGGGTGCCCGCCCTCCCTGGGTCCCCGCCCCACCCCGGGTGCCCATCCTCCCCGGGTCACTGCCCCCCCCCCCGGGTGCCTGCCCCCTCCGGGTCCCCGCCCCCCCCGGGTGCCCACCCTCCCCGGGTCACTGCCCCCCCCCCGGGTGCCCGCCCTCCCCGGGTCCCCGCCACCCCCCCGGGTGTCCGTCCCCCCCTGGGTCACCGCCCCCC